TAATGTAACAGACGCATGTGCCCTTAAAAATACCAAGCCTAGTCTGTTTGGAGCCAGCAATATGACACATGTGCCATGTGTGTACACAAGATTAAAAAGTCATTCTGGTATGCACTCACCGATCCTGTTCATATTAAACTCATCTGTAGATGCTAGTGAGTTCCTAACTTTCTTCAATACGATGACACAGAAACAGAATTTCAAGGATATTGAGATTCTCCCAGACAGAACACCATGCCAGCAAAAAGCAAGAAGGGCTAGTTATAAAAAACACTATCGTGAAATTGGAAAAAAGTATCATAATCCCAAAAGTCATAAAATCAAGTTTGATGCTAATAGGACCTCTGACTACAAATATGCCACCAACGATAAGATCTCCTAAATCTCTTTACGTTCAAAATCCAGAAGGAAGTGACCACAATGTAGTTTGCGTCCATCCTCCTAAAAAACATTGACGTAAATCTAATCCTAAGTAGTTGTGCTGAGGACAAATCAGTTAATACGGTTCTAATTTCTGCCGCTGCAATACACAGATACAGTAATTGTGCAACGGCTAATTGGGAAAATAGTTATAACATCTATATAACCGATCACACGCTGAACGTCGATATATTCTGACCTTTCAAACCATCGCAAGTGTGTTTAACGACACTCGATTCTCCCCAAATTGCGAAGGAGCTAAAACAAACCGCAAACCTTGGACATAAATGTCTGGAACATGTTACACATTCATAAGGTATAAAAAGTAATTCGAATTATAAACAACAACCTGGTCTCACACATAGACCGGATACCCTTCTTGTTCTGGCCTCCAAGATGTACACTATACGTCTATCAGATATTATAATGAATGACAATTAGATGACTTTGTTGCGATTTCCCTGGCCTTTCTGTCGGCAACGGTGAATATATCATAGATGATGACAAAGTAGAATAATCTCCTCCCTCACAGAGCATAACTTTTAGCCAATCACACGAGTATTCATGGAACTACCACTTGTAATCTATACTCTAACCCGCTTCATTATGACACCTCTCAGCTTCTTATTTCTTCATTTAATGCCCACTCTCTGTTCAATAAAATTACTCATCTTAAAATCCTTTTGTTTCTTATAGATCCAAGCATTGTATCTATTGCGGAAACGTGGTGCAAATTATCTATTCCGACTGCTACCCACACGTAGATAACTACGTTTTCTATCTAACCAACAGACGTCACGAAACAGGAGGAGATACAATTATAAATGTCCGTTCAAACGTTCAGGCGTATAAATTTGAGAATGAATGTCTTGATGCTATAGATGACTCATTTTGGGTTACCGTAAATTGTGGACTGCAAAATTACTTACTGGCAGGATACATATGCATACCACCTCACGTAAATACTGAATTTGTTAAGTTACCAACAAACATATTTTTCATCTCTTCTCATCAACTGCATACGCTTGAAATCATCGGAGGTGATTTTAATCTGGAGTTCTACATCGGTATCAGGTCGATTTAACAAGTTAGTTGAAACATCAGAATTTTGTGGATTGATCCAACAGGTACGAAAATCGACCAGGAGGAACAATACATTTGACCTGTTACTTACAATCAACATAAACTCTAACTCAATGCACGTCGGTTATCAGTTTTTTTACCAGTGGTCATATTGAGCATGTAGATCACCAAGGTAGATTATCTATGTCGGATGATTGAGGGCCTACTTCAATTAGACGGGAGTGGTGTGATCGGCAGTTTAAGTCGAAATCACACCTCGCCGTCAACACTTAACGTGGATAACCACTTCGTCGTATCAAGGTACTATGGACGCTTTGAAGACCATACAGCACAAAAGATGTTATTACGGGAATATATTAATAAGAATAAGTACAAAGAATATTGTGAGACCATCACCACATCGGCCAGCGCATGACATATGATTGACTAATGCGCGTTGGTTGCCCTTGACTTTGAAGGGGATCGATGATCTGTTCGATATTCACTGAGGCAGATGCCGGATGATTTGGCTAAGGCTCAGTGACATTTCACTGACCCTACAAGTATTATTCATTCCCCATACACTATAAAATTGAACTCTAAAGCTGCAACAATGTACTGAAGCAGGAAGTTTGATCAACAAACCTGAAAGCGCACTGAACCTTTTTTCGATGCTCACTATAGGAATCTTATCTCACCAAAATAATAATATTGACAATGTGCTTTCCGACTTATACAACATCCTGACGTATTGCTTTGACTACAATGCTTCAATTACCGACCATGTGACTTATATCGCTAAAATGGGCCATGTAGATCACCAACGTAGATGATCTATGTCGAAATGATTGGAGGCCTACTCGAGTTAGACGTGGTATGACAAACTAGCTAACGTCGAAGTTACACATCGTGGTCAGCGCTTTACGTGGACTACCCCATCGATGTATCAAGGTACCATAGATGCTTTGAGGACTGTACAACACAGAGGACGTTATCACAGAAATATATTAGTTAAAGTAGATACAAACAGATACCATTGCCACATGGGTCAGTCCATGGTACACGATTTACTGATGCGCGTTGGTTGTCCCTGACCTTGACTAGGATCGATGATTTGCTCGATATTCAATGGCCCAACTACCGGGTGATTTGGCTATGGCTTAGTGACCCCAGGTGAATTAAGAAGTGTAACAATAAACACCTGCTCCTCTGGAGTAACTAGTTCAGTAAGCGTCAAGCATTGACCCTAGCCATGTTAGTTTTGGGAGGTAAGATTAGTTTGAAGTGCTTGGTTAAATACCACCCGAAGACTACAGCGTGACTTGATCTGAGACACTTTCACACTGATAAATAGCCGGTATAACGTTCCTTTATCCCTGAATATAATTGAAAACACCTCTCCTCTCAACCATGGTTTTTCTTCTTATCTTTGGGTTAGTTGGTTAGAAGGCACTGGGGTATCAGGTTTGTCTGTTTCTGTTACATCTAATGTTGCTCTAGAAACGTCCCTTAGTAATGCTTGAAAGTGGTACTGCCGAGTTGGTTTACAGAACAATACAACGTCATCCAGCCGAATATTTTAATCGCGCAAATGTCTTCATTGTGAATAATCAAATACTTGTAACAATTCAAACAATACACAAAATTTAAAGATTTCTCTCCACGTACTGAGATGTGAGACATCTATAATCACGTTTGATGACTATGCTTATATGTTTATCAAAAATGATAGCGCACAACGGCCGCCTCAGTTACGTTAAAGTGTTAATCCATTAAAAAAAAGACAGGAAGTCAATTACAGTCAACGGAACTCCCTCAAATCTTCAACAACAGGAGATAATAGTGGGTGAATTCATGCTGTAAAACTTAACAGCGGAATGCAGGCATGTCAGGAAGCTAAACTAACCAAAAAGTTATATAAAGTCACGTCTTGTTATTTCATTAACATGTACATCTTCCTGCTAGTGAATGATATTAGGCTGTTCAATATCTGATGAAAAAAATAAACCAGTATTTGGATAACCGGGCTTTGTTAATAGACACAGAATGACTAGGTGGAGATAAAGATATATCTCCATTTTGCTAACGAGTGAATAGCCAATACATCCGCTATACAGTTACGTGTTTAAAATGATCACAATAATATCATATAGCTTCATGCTACATACTTTGAGTTCTCGATTCGGTCATGTTGAAGTTCTAGACCCAATGGAACTAGTTCCATGTGGTAGTAGGTGTTATTATTTGTAAGTAGCGTAAGATGGCATTGGAGTTGTCGGACGAAGTGTAGTTTGAGTATTTAGGAAGAACGGCGTCGGCATAGCATACGAAGACCAAACGATTCAGTTCGGATTGCAGAATACATCGAAAGATACGATTATTGGAGGCTATGTATATGTATCATGTAAATGCTTCATAACTCTTCACAATAAACACAATTATTCTGCCTTCTTTTACACTATTCCGTTATATTACTTCAAATTCACAGCTAATAAGTCATTAGTGGATTAGTCTTTTTAATATTGATGAGTAATTTAAGGTCCATACTAATTCACATAGTTTTAGGTACTTAAGATCGCTTGGGTCTGTTGAATTTTCAAAAAAAACTGTAATGCATTGACAAACCAATATAAATAAGTAACACACGTGTAAATCACTGAACAAAGTGGAATATTTTTAACAAAACCCGATGAAACTATAATACTTCTGTACTGGCTGGTTACGATTTCACTTTTCGTGTCTTTGAATAGATAGCCTAATATCCAAAAATGTTTTAAGCATTAGAGTTTTGTAAATATTACTCATCTAACTTAAAACGTGGTTAGCGCTAGGATTTATAAAACTTAAAACATAACACTTCAGTCTGCTATGAATACACACATAGTTGATAGCAATCGATCTGCACCAATAAGGACTAGACAAGCATGACACTGATCATCACCCAGTGATCAATCAATTGTGATTACATCTCAGTCCTACGGGAGGTTGGTCGCGGTCCGGATAGCTCAGTCGTAACGTCTCTGACTGTGAAGCTGGGTGACACGGAATCGAATCCGTCATGGAGCACCAGTCCCCTCAAGATTACAGGTACACCTTGCTGACGTGTGCCAAGTAGCACAAAACCCGGGTCTAGGGTTTCCTGTCGACTACCTCCAACCACCATCTAATCTCACAATACTGCACGCAGTGTCGAGTCACCTGGACTGGTGGCCACATTGCATCATGGTCGATAGCAATCGATCTGCACTAATAAGAACTTGATACATGATATTGGTCACCACCCAGTGATCAATCAATTGTGAGTACACACAACCCCATCATCTTGGTAACCATGAGCGCAAGCACTCAACTTATACAGTGTGACATAAACCCCAGTGCGCAAACATATAGATGGGTAATGAGTTGCGACGTAATATTAATGTAACTTATTCGGCCAACATACTCAATTACATTAAATAATATTAATGAATTTTACAATATTACTTTCTCTGAAATTAAAAAAATCAGAAAATGCAGAAGAAACAATACAAGAAATTTATTATCAAGCTGTATATTCGATTAAAAGGTGTAGTTAACCTTTAACTGGGTTAAAATGACAAACGGTCATGATAAAGTAATCATGACACTTGAAATAAAAAAATCATAGTATAAAGAAATCACAAAACAAAAATAAACGCAAATCAATCGGAAGAATGTCAGAGAATCACAGCATGGTTCACTACTGATACTAATTTCTTAGGCAGACAGATGATTGAATTTCGGTTTACTTTTTGAAGGAGCTTGTCCCAATAGATAAAGACAATCAGCAATGATAAATCTGAAGTGATAATAAAACGAGGTACTAATAATATAACCGATACCAAAAACATCCTTATCAATTTCGACAAGGATTGAATAAAATTGACGAAAAGTCTCAAATTACATTTCCGTATTTATGAAACTAAACAAATAAAGTTTGCTACGTCTGTAGGCTTAAGTAATTTCAACTATTGTAAGTGAAAATATATCACAGGATAGCTGCTACGAGACAAAGCACTGAGAAACCCGTTATTTTTGATGACCAATGAACAATAGAGTGCGCTTCTACAAATTAATTACCAATATATTAACAGAAGTTTAAGCATCATGATTACATACCCAACAGAAATTAGCGTAACTTAACAGCAATGGGAGTAAGAATCTTACAAGTATCTCATCATCTATGCAGTATGAAATGGAGGTGGGTTTTAGAAAGATAATTGACTTGATAGAATGAAAACACACTCAAACCAGAATTGTAGGGGAGTTTATCTTTACTGATAGTCGAGTGCACTTTACCGTTTCACAGAATTTCCAACGAATTTCGAATATCACTAACTGATAGGAAACAATCAACACGGAAAGAATACATTCGCGAATCCGTAACAAATTAATGACTTTCAAAAAAAATTTGAATGATATTAATTACTGACAAGTAGTTTGCTATTGGTCAAGAACACAGGAAAGTTTGATTACTACCAAATCTTTTCAGTTTTATTATCCTTCAGTTTACGTTCCTTAGCAGTGAAAATCCATGTAGTCAATCAATTGGGAAGATGATGAGGCACATATAACAACGAATGAGGACTGTGAAGTCACGAAGTGGATGGAGTGTATGTGGGATTTCATATAGTCATTTACTTAAAATTTTACTCGGCGCGAAACCTGGTGAGCCCTAGGTTTGAGCTGTGTGAAGCAGAAGGTAGACAATTTTGAGGAAACCCAAAATAGGACAAAATGATCTCTCAGTATCACTTGCTTATTAGTGGCTTCCTAGACAATATCAATCCGTAGCAAAAATTACCATTAAAGCGTACCAAATCTCAGCATAGTGGTCACACGCGATATTCCCACATTTCAATTTGATGACCGTAAAAGTTACGCCTAATTTTATGCTAAAAAGATTATACAAGACAAAGAGCAAGAGAAACTTGTGAAACCACTCATAAATATCACGAAGTAGTAACAACTGTTCAACTATTACATGTTAAATACGACTTATTGGCCAATGTAAAGTTCTAAACTAACACGAAACAAATGGACCCAAATAATATCTTTTCGTGATTAAAAATGCCAGTTCCTGAAGGAAGTATTTAATTCTATAGGAATCGTTACTTTATAAATTACACTCACTTGTACCAAGGAATAATTATTAATATGGAAGAAGCATGCCATAAGGCATGAGCATCAAATATCCAACCGATTGGCACGAAATCGCATAATTCTAGCAGCATAAAAACCATAGAGGATGTAACTGATAACCAACAATAAATAATATATGGTTGTCTTTTATAATCACAAAAGTATATGCAGAAAAATAACCAGCCAAAACAATTGATTAGACCTGTTGAATTAAAACAATGACTAATTATCATAATGTTAACAAGAATAAACATGTCAATTATAGGTTATAGGAATCGAATGTACTCTACTTAAGAGTGCCACTTTTATATCTTTAATAACATTATTGTAACTCATTCACAAGACGGTGTACTCAATCTTCAGTCTCACTTTAGATCTGAGCTATTGAAACTACCTGATTCCTCAAATTAAAATGCTTAGGACACGATTTTGCTTAAAGACCTACTAATTGAAAACTGAACGCTTTCGACAGTAAATCATCACCATATTTTATTGCTCATCAGGTCTTTGTACTGAAGTAGAGGAAGAACGTTAGTCAAACTTAGATTTAACTGGTTGCTAGCTATATTAGATTTGAATAAATTTATATTGAGACAAGTAAAGTTAAGGGCTAGTCACTCAACAGAATGTTCGTATTCGGAGATCATATGTGACCCAGTAGTTTTCTGTAAATTTAATTATTGTGGAATTCGGACAGATACAGCTTATACATGATGATTACTAGAAAATGAAATCACACACTTAAAGTATATTTTAAGTGCCTTCTAATGTACTTAAAATGTCACACATGCCATCATGTTTTAAAAAATTATTCAAATTTGCTCCATCCTCGTTTTTTTTCAACTTACTAGGGTACTTACAGGTATGATAATGTGAACTCACGTATTACTATCCTTGGTACCTCAGTCATTGATCAGCCGTAAGCTGGTCAAGAGTGCAAAATGGTACTATATCAACTCCATTTCTCCATAATTCTGTCGCTCATTACTTTATTTTCACTAAGGTAAGCTGAATTTCCTCTTGATATTCTAAACAATCACTTGGCGACTAAAGACATTACTATCAAACAATCAAATAATCTGTTGATAAGGGGATCAGTAACTTATGTATAGTAGCTAACCTAGTTGAAATACCTGAGATAAAGAAAGAAATACAGTGTATGAATCATGAGATTATTTAAAATAAACTTACCGAATAAAATGTTGACAGTCAAGTTATAGCCATAGTCAAAATTAACGAAAGTCATGTAATTTACATGGTTCACAAAAAAGGCTGATAGAAGAGCAGAAAACAGGATAGTAATAAATCGATTTGGATTGAAAATTCTCCGGTGTAAAACCATAACAGATGCAATAACAAATGCAAGTGCACTAAAATAATCCATTTTCTATGAAATCACATGTTATTTTTAAAAATGAACTTGCTTCAGTAAACGATGTGTCCCTTGTGTGAAATATTGTTGACCAAACCCACGCGTTCATAGAAAACTGGGATACAGAATTAGTGTTTAAAAACTTACGATAATTTGCATCACCCAAGTTTTATACATAGGAGAATTGTATGGAACATATCTGTAGAATTTATTGAACATGTGACAATTAAACATAAAGTTCAGGAGGGAAAATACAGCAGATGCTGGTTCTTGTATACCACAGAGACGAATGAACGGCCACTGGTAATAAGATTACAGAAAGATGATTAACTCACCTTTCCATTAAATTGAGGGACAGGCCAACCATTTTTTTCAAGTGCAGAAACAGTATTCCACATGCAGCGATATTTGCACTCAGACTCGCAATCCCAAAGAATTGAATTCTCGAAGATTACAACTCGAGAGGAATTAAAATGTTTATCCCAGTAACTTTGTCTATTTGACAAAGAAGATTCACATATTTCCTCTATGCACTTCTGATTGCATTCATGAAACACAAGAGTCTTATCTCCTACAGATGAAACTACAGGATGTATGACAACTAACAGAATATAAACAAATGCTTGGATCACATCAAAATACATAATAGATGTGTACCAATTCGATCAAACTACATGACGAAGCGACAAACCGTTTTTTAAGAACAGTAAGAGGGGAAAAGTTGAGAGACAATTAGCAGCAAGACGACTAATCAGCACGAGTCTGAAATGCTCACAGCAATGTGATGCCTAAACGAATAAAATTGGATAACGGATCATTAGCGATATTACCAAAAACAAAATTACACGACAAAAATAACTGTTGGTCCATAAAGCTGACAAACTAGAAATTACGTGTATTTACAATTGATTGATCAATGGGTGGTGATCAATGTCATGCTTGTCTAGTCCTTATTAGTGCAGATCGAGTGATATCGATCATGTTGCAATGTGGCCACCAGTCCAGGTGACTCGACACTGCGGGCACTTAACTAGAGAAGTTATGATTTATTAACAAGGGTTTTACAAAACTATTTATTTTAAAAGAAAACAAGCCAAAATGTACATAAAGAGGATATGGTACATTTTCAGCAATAAAATGATAAATGATTAGACCGGCAGAAGCTGGAATATTGGATCTATTACAAACAAAGGTAACACAATAGAAGAGATATGGTAAGATCTAAGTGTTTCCAAAAACCCCACAAGCAGTACATACTCCCAATTTGTTAATAACCCGGTGACCTATTCAAGCCATTGGGCCACCTATTTTCCGGTTCTATTAATATATCCATAAACTTCTCTGTTTTCAAACTGTTTGAACTGAATAATTATCAATCCTAACTATTTGCATTCACACATTATTATGAAAGACTTACAACCTATGACGATGCAAAGTACTGGAAATTTTACACCGAAACACTTCGTAGTGAATTATTTTTCCCATCTATCCTTTGAAGAAAAACGAGAAATATATCGCAGTGTATGAACTGCAATATCTGATGGGTGAAAGTGGTTGCAACACCCAAACTGGTAGTAATTTTCGCCACTGAAGATGAATGGAAGATAGTGACTTAATAAATATATTGTAATACTGTACAGCTGATAGTGAGAATCTGTACTGTAACAGAATTTACAATTATGAATAAATCTATTTTATTATCAAGAAACAAACCATTATTTATGATCAGACCAATCATGTTATGTGAACACAGAAAATAAGAAATATCCGCTAAAACCTACAAGTACTTAAAATTACAACTCAGTAAATTAAGTGAAAATGGTGCTTTTAGTACCAATATTTTCTTCAACAGTGGAAACATAATGTTAGAAACATTAATCGTCTATGTAGAACACTAGTATCACGGGTAGGCGCATGCAGCAGTCAGCCAGGAAGTAACATGATGACAAATGACACGGAGAGGTCTAAAAACTAACGATATAAAGTACCATTCACTTCTCAGAGGTCTTTACACTCACTTTGCCAGGTTTGTAAATTATTGTAGATTTCCTATAGGTTTATTTCGTTTGAAACTAAACTGTCCAGTTTTTATGTACTTGCAAATATCTGTTTAGACTGCATCATACTTTGTTGAATTTGGAAGTCTGGGTTTCCATCTTATCAAAAATGAATCCACTGAATCATGCAAAATGAGTCACAGTACACGTAGAGGTGCCAATAAATGTAATGAGGCAGTTTCACTTATTGCTGTCATACCGCTGTAGTTTTCACAGTGGACGATAAGCGATTAGTTATTAGTTATAATGATGACGCAATGTCGATAGATTCATTGATTATCAAGTTGTCGTAAAACCACTAAAATACATCAAATCAGATAAGTCTCGCAGTCTTAACAATATCCATACTTGAATGAAAACTACTGCACCACCGGGAATAGTATTTTATAAGTCTCTGAAGCAGTTAGAACTATCAAGAGACTGGAAGGATGATACGATTAGTTAGATTTATAAAACACGATAAAAAATTTAGCTAATATCTCCTAGTTAAAATCACTAGTACAGTGGTCAAAGAAGTGGAAGAACCTATTCGAGCTTTTATTCTAGGTCACACTGAAGGGAATATTCTCCTAGTGAGGGGATAGCACGGCCTTAATAGATATCTGATATTTCTGATCAGTCTCCGGAGACTTATAGAAAATATAGTGATCCAGAAGATACAGATTTCAATAGAGCCCTTAATAAGGTCACTCTGCTGGGTCTTAAAGTAAGTTAAACTTAAGTTTCAGAATTGGTTACATATGTAACCAGTTTTAACTCTGCAGAGTTAAAAACTGAATCAATGACTATTTTAGTGGTGGAAGGTAAAGTGTACGAATTTACAGTGGATTGTTATCTTAAGAATATATGAAGAGTTGGATCTCCCAAAAGACAATCCGCGAATGTCCTCCTGTTTTACTTTGAGTAACCAACTCACCAAATGTAGCGGCTAGACTCTAATTCAGGGACGACCATTGAACGAATCTTCAGTTTCACTTTCAGTTTCAGCTCGGAAAGGACAGGAGGCTTGATGGCTTGTGTTAACCTTGACAATGATGATCTCTCAGTTGATCCAACTTTCTTTTGAAAGAATCTACGGATGGGGCCTCAACCACGTGTTGAGGTAATGAATTCCACTCGTTGATGATTCGATGGGAAAGTCGATTGTCAGCTGACAAGTAATTTGTTCTGGACTTGTGAACTTTTTTGGAGTGTCCTCGTAAAGTCTCTGTTCCGGAAGACAAGAATGATGAGGGAATATTAGGTGCGTATTTGGCACTAAGCAATTTGAAAACTGTAATCAAGTCGTCTCTAGTTCTGCGATATGACAACGGGAAAAGGTTGAGCTTGGACAGTCGAGCTTCATACGGAAGTTTCGCTATTCCGGGAATCAGTTTAGTTGCAGTTCTCTGAATCTTTTTCAGAAGCTCATTGTCTTTTTTTAAGCGGGGGCTGGCCGCTTGTATGCAGTACTCAAGTTTAGGACGAACGAACACTGTATATCAAGTCAAAAACGTCTTAACGTCGACATGACTAAAAGCCCTACGTATTGACCATAAGGTTCTAAAACCTTTGGCGGCTATTGCACGGCAGTGTGCACTAGTCTATAAGTCTTGACTAACGATGACTCCTAAGTCATTATGTATCTGGACGACAGGTAGCTCAGTGTTATTCATCGTGTATGTATCTGTACCTTGATGACCGATATGCATCACAATACACTTGGAAGTACTTATCGGGCACTGCCAGGCTTGAGACCATTCAAATTATTTCTTCGGGTCATTTTGGAGTTCTAAGCTATCAACATTACATCGTATCGTTCTCTATATCTTGACATCGTCAGCATATAGAAAGACCGATGATGATAGGAGACGAGGAAGGTCATTTACATACAAGAGGAATAGCACTGGCTCCAAAACTGTACCCTGGGGCACTCCACTAAGCACAGTTCCCCAGTCAGATAACTTTGAGTTCACCCGAACTCTTTGTTGACGCCCAACTAAGAAGGCTTTTATCCACATCAATAAATTGCCTCCAATCACGAATTTTCTTAACTTATATAACAGCCGGTTGTGCGGAACTCTGTCAAAAGCTTTACTGAAATCAATGAAGACTACGTCTACAGGTAGCTTTTGGTTCTTAAGAGCGCACCAGCTTTCACGAGCCACTAATAAGTTAGTGAGACAGGAATAACCTATTCTGAAGCTGTGCTGCTTCCTCGAGAGGACCCGGTTTTGATCGAGATACTTAAGCAGCTCCTTCCAAATAATCTTTTCTAAGATTTTAACAAACACACTAGTTAGGCTAACGGGGCGGTAGTTCTCAGGTTTGTGTTTCGTACCTGTTGTGAAGACAGGACTTACTATGGCGTTTTTCCAATCCTTTGGTAGGTTGAAGCATAGGTTAAAGCATATACTTAAAGGGTTTGCAACGAAGTTATATAATTCCTTCAGTAGCCTAGGATGTAATTCATCGGGCCCCGTGGATTTACCTATGTTAAGCTTATTTAGTAGACCAAAGACATAGAGTTCTTTGATGGTCACGCTATCCATTGTATGTGTGGGGGATCTGTATGCTCTGATGGGAAGGGTGCTTCTGTGGTGTATACATTGCTGAAGTAGTTTGAGAACACTTGAGTCTTACCAAAATCGTTCTCCACTAGTGACACGGAAGTACTGTCTCCCCATAATGTAGGAATCTTTCCTCTTCTCTTTGTCCTTTGGTTTATATAGGAATACAAACGTTTAGGACATTCTGTGGATTCCTTAAGAATTTTTTCTTCGTACAACTTTCTAGACTTACGAAGGGACAAGGCACAGGTATTCCGAGCTTTTTGATACTGAAATGTTGTCTCATCGGTCACCAGTAACCTAAATCTCTCCCACATTTTTCTTCTCTTACGGAGAAGGACGTGGACCTTCCTACTGAACCATGGTGAGGAGCTTCTCGGCCCCCTTGGTATAGTCCAAGGGATGTGGGGTCTGGTAACTTTTAAGTATGAATCTCGAAATGCGTCCCAGGCTGTTTTAACTGAGGACTCTAAGTCTATTGTCCTATCGACTAACGATGCTGAGTACAAGATTCTCGAATTGAAATTTATAATATAATAAGGTAGCTCTGATTCTTTAACGCCACAAATTTCTGATAATTTCGAGTCACCTAAAGCAACAATGCCTATTTTTCCACTGGCCAATCCTCAATCAACACTATAACTAGTTAAACATAATAGTTTCAGGATATCGTCATAAAGCATTGTCATGACTTGACAATCACGTAATATGATTGATAAAATTAATGAAACTATTAACAAAATAGGTCAGCAAATTGACTTATGATTATCACTAGTGTTGTTTTTCTTTTATCTTCATTCACTTCAGATGATTACAGTATGTTTCTCTATCAATTGCTCATTCAGTAAATATCTCAAAACCTTGTCAGTCTAGTTGATGGTTTAGCGACACAATCATGCATGCAAATAATCAGTATAAGCAGTCGAGCAAATCTCCTGCAAACTGAAAACATAAATGTCGAATTTACCCCAACACTGACTAAAGTTCAAGCCATTATCATAGACATGAGTTGAGAGTGTACTCCCCTTGGTTACAACTTATGTTCTCCCTGATAATCACATAAGCATCACTCACTATTAATCATCTTGTAGAAACTTATTTAGCCAAATACACCTTGCAGCACCACATCACTTAGTAATATGACACATAGGTTTAACTAATCTCAATAACGTATAACCACTATATCTCAATAAAATCGTATTCCGCCTCATGATAAACTGCATACTTTCAACTAACTTGTATACCCAATCAGCCGGCAAGTATAGATATAAATAAATAGTCAGTAGCAGATCAGAACATTGAGTCTGGAGCATGTCTCTTACGAATACACTCATGTTTAACGATTTGTTCCTAGCAATCTGTCCAAAATTCATATGATTATCACTTAGGTATTTAAATTTTGTTTTAATAACCATTCATGTGTATTAGTAGTATTAATAAATTATATCACGGTCAGGTAAACATGGGGTTGGGAAAATCTCCCTGTAACTAAATAAACCGTATCAAACTAACTGGAACACTAGTTGGAATTCTTCTCCACGGTAATACTTTTGTTCCTTCAGTTAGCCTACTAATACAGATGCAATTGGAAATCGATTCATATGGACAACTTACCGGCATAATCGTTATTTGATTTCATAAGTTAGACTAAAAGTAGTACTAATATTAACATTTCTACAATATTCATAACTTTAATATTTCTAAACACAAAATACATACTACCTATACGTTAAGTTATCAACCAACGGCTATTACACACGCATCGTTTTATTATTACTATTATTATTATTGTAATCCCATTTTTTATAGCTCAAATAATCACTCAAATTTTCATTGTAAGCGTGTTAAGCATGAAGGCAGATATTTTAAAATTATTACATGTATTTCCCGACCAGATGCTGCCGTCTTCCTTTTGATTTATCTTTCAGCTTGTCATCACCCGGAGGATTCTTACTAGTCTTGGTAACCTTCGGCACACTACAGTCTCATCCAATTGGGTATCGAACCAACACCACGTTGATTCTGGTGGGAGAGTAGTGTAGTGGCATTGGACCATAACCACACTATCCTCAAAGCTGAATACGAGATTACTCGGAAAATAGGTATTCAATATTTAACGCGAAGAAATACCTAACGATGGAGAAGGCGCGAATGATGAACTGAATAAATTAGAGTTGATGGAATGGCATGGCTCGGCCATGCAGGCGTGGTCCCTCTGAATGTTACCATATATCTTCTATTCATACTAAATATATTGTTCTTTCTCTAGCCTAACCTTGTTCTACATCATGTATTGGTAATTGATACGATACAGTGAGTTGGTGTAGTCGATGGTGTGACTTCCACGTAAGATCTTATAGATTAGGCAGTTATATCATGACATATCTACAAATTTAGGATTAGGTCTATTATTAGAGCAGTACTAATATCATAGTAGACCATAAATTCTACATGTTTGCTTTCCAGACGTTAGGTTTGGATTGGGCTGACGCGTGTTCGTGACTGACAGTTATATGGAAGTAGAAAGTTAGAAATGCGTGATTCCTAATGAAGCCTATACCTTAGCCTGATCGTGGCTCCGCAACATGATCTTGGAAACATAATGCTCTTCGCGGCCCCATCGCTTTAATTTAAAAGTTGATCATGTTTAGAAAATGAGGATCAGTAAACTGTCCGGTATTCAGTGATCTGACTACCAGATGACGTGGCTAGGCTTTCGTGAGATTTCACTGTCTTTAAATATCCTTCTAACGTACATAAGAAGACAAAATTTTGCAAATGAGCTCAATCATTTACGTAGTATATGGTACATTGCTTATGATATTTAAGGACAGTGAACTCCATTGAAGCTAGATGGCACAAACATTTACTATAATAACACAACAGTATCGTTTCCATGATGAAGCAAACAGTATATACAGCTTTTACGGAGCCGGGGAAGTCACAAACTGCATATTGTGGATTAATATAGAGAGTGGTTTGTGAAAAGTCGTCAGCGATTATTAAAGGATCACTTGTAACTAGGCAAGACTCCAGTTTCGCGAGCATTTATTTTTGTGTAGTTTTGTTTTATGGTATGAAACATGGCCTAAGATATAAGAAAGTGTGGAGATGTGGCATGAACTCAGTAATCTGCAAGGAGTCCTTTATGGTTATAATTCTAACCGAACCATATATACAGCTTGTGAGTTAATTTTTCTGTATCAAGTGTTGACCGTAATTAATCAGTAATGAGGTATCAATAAACTTCTTCACATGCGTTAATTTTCTATTTATCTTAGTTTTATGAAGAGGTTAACCGTTTTTAACACAGATGTTTCTAACACTTAGTAAGTGCTCGCTCTATAACTGGCTGTTTCGTTATGTGTATTTCTAAGTTCGTGAAGTAGTTTCATCATATATCATGTAACGACG